TGATGAGTTTCATAATCACTGCGAAATATCTCACATTCAATGTCCTCTAGTTTTGATTCATTTGTCATCGAACTTTCATTCAAATTTTCATGTGATATTACTGTCATTTCTTGCACTTGTACTTTTTAGTCTTTTAAAATATATTAGACTTGGAGCAGTTATATACTAGAGAGGTTTTTTCGAAATTTCTTATTTTGTTGAATATCAAATGCTGCTAGCGAAAAGGATTGATTCTGCATCTTCCACTCATCCCCGACAGTAAAAATTCTGTTTTTCAAAAACTATTATGGGAATCAAAATACATCTGAAACGTATCGTCGAGCGAAGCAGAAGGAACTCATTAAGCAAAGGTTGAAGTAAGGAGACACTAGAAAAACAACTATTAGCGAAAAGCATAATCATTTAAAGATTTTTCGCTCTTTTTTATTACTAATTCATTCGATGGAAGGTACAAATTTTAACAAAAATCAAATGGAACTCCACTTCTTGTTTTCCGTCTTTTTATGGCCTGTTAGACACGCATGCTTCAGTCCAGATAATTCACACAGTGTCCATATAACAGGCTAGCACATATGGATACTTTCAAGCGGAACATAACTCTGAACAAAACCATTACCCTGCAAAAGCAAGGAGAGAAGGGCAAGAAGTACAGGTGAGTTCAAACTCTCAAATTCTCAAGTTGGTTCCCTAAAAACAATTTAGAAAAAGCATACGTACAAATATTTATAGACACGACGAAAGTAAGCAAAAGTAAATAATATACACCATTGTATCCACTTTTTCTTTTACCCGTAGACCAAAAAAAATGTGACAAACGTAAAGCAAACGTCAATACATAGACGAGCTATAAAACATTCCTTTTATTACCCTTTAAAGAGACCATTTTACATCAAAAGTTGTAGTGTCCTCTTCTTAGGACTAGGTGAACTACGAACTCCTCTATTTATTCCCAACCTACAAAAAAACTATGTTTTTGCAAAATTTTGAACTTGCAGAATTCTCAAATTCTCAGATTCTCAAAATTCTCATTATACAGCAAAATTCTCGATTTGCAAAATTTTGGATTTGCAGAATTCCCAAATTCTCAACTTCTCAGTATAAAGCAAAAATCTCGATTTGTACAATTTTGGATTTGCAAAATTCTCAAATTCTCAAAATTCTGAACTTCTCATTACACAGCAAAATTCGAATTGGAAAATTTTCGATTTGCGGAATTCTGAGGTTCCCAATTTCTCAGTCTGCAGCAGAATTCTGAGTGTGGTTATTTCTGAACATTTCGGAAAAGTTTAGTTTGCTGCAAATCCGTTTTCTTCTCCTGAATCAATTTGTACAAGTAAGTTTGCGGCAAGTGCAAATTCTTCATCCTATGGTCGTTACCCAATAATTGCAACTGAGTAAAATCTAGTAACCTGAATCAGATGAGTCAGGCGATACTAGATCTTTTTTGACGCTTGGGGATCAAGGAATATTTTTGAGCAACATAAAAGAGGAAGAAGGCCGTTTTATCAAGAAAATTTTCAAGAGTGATCGGGCCGGACCATATAAATTTAATCTTCGGTCGGGCCGAAAAGTATTTTCGTCGAGGCGGACCAGAAATATTCGGCCCGTGCCGATCTCTGCTTACAATACAGTTTATATGATGAGAATTTTATTTAGCCAGAACGAATGAAATATAATGCTGAACCGTTTGAAATTCGTTCTGATATTTGGGCACCAGGTATCAGTATTGTTAGTAACAAAATATATAAAATTCTATCATTAATGTTATCCTTGTTATGCATAGGCTGAATTAGTGAATGGAAAACAACCATTTTTAGGTCTCCCGTATATCGAATTGGCTAATCTAATTCAAACATGGACACCTAATATTGATGATAAACTGATATCGTTTGCTTTAAAAGAACTTATTCTCTATCTGTAAAAATGATTATAAATTTCTCATACATTGATAGATATAAATATGTGTGTTTTTCTCTATTTAGATTAAAAACAGATTATAAACAGCGTCCGAAGTCGTATGGCGAAATACTTGAAATGCCAGTTTTACAAAGTGTTCATATAATACCGTCAAACGATGAAATGAATTGTATTAAAAAAATTATTGATAATATTGTTCCCTGACACATCCATCATATCTCTTAATAGTTTTGTATCAACGTTTTTTCTAAGCCACGAACGTCTTTAGCTCCTTTTTCACTTGCCACCTTTATCACAAATTGCTAATAAGATGTGTGAAAAAACAGAACTTTATAAATTGTGTAAGAATATTAGCGGCTTTTTTTAAGTTTTAGACGCAGAAGACTCGCTCAAAATCTTGCTTAGAACCTTGAAAAATTGTTTTCTGTAGGTTTGACGACGTACTCTTTTATTTGGACAGGTCAAGGAAATTTTTTAGTGAAAATTGTTTTTATATTGAAAAACTAAGATCTTTAAAAAACGGGTCTTTAAAACGAAAGCGGGCAAAAACCATTGTGATAGTCGGAATCAGCACGTTCGATTACCTATTGCCAACTGAGTTTAAGCTCAAAAGCGAGGAGGCAGTTGGTGGCCTTCCCTCGTCAGTTTTACAACTCCTTCTAAAGAGGATATAACGAACGCTTTAATGGAACCGGGAAACGATATTGCTGGTGGAGTTGATGAGATTCCAGTCGTTTTGCTAAAAAATGGTGCTAGCATCCTTACTCAGCAATTGCATCACGTATTTAAGCTTTCAATAGACAGTGGAGATTTTCCCGATTTATGGAAACTGGCATTAGTTAATCCCACATATAAAAAAGGAGCTAAAGATCAAGTATCCAACTATAGACCGATATCTCTTTTATCTATTGTTAGTAAGGTTCTTGAAAGGTTTATATACGATCAATTTCTTAAACATTTAAACGAATAGAAAAAAACGATGTGCCACGTTCGTGGCTTAGAAAAAACGTTGATACAAAACTATTAAGAGATATGATGGATATGTCAGGGAACAATATTATCAACAATATGGCTCCTAATACTGACTATGAGTTAAGATCAAACCATGCTAATCGGCTGCTTGGTTTTGCAGATAAAAGTCATTTCTTTAATAACTCATTTTTTCCGATAGCCGTTAATGATTGGAATATTCCCTCTGCTGTACAGCCACAACTCTGCGTTCGAATGCAGCCTAGGATGTTTCTGGAGAAACTAAAGGTTCATCTGCTCAAGCCCTGCTTTGTCATTCCCTCGTCAGCCTCTCGTAAATTAGAAGGAAATTATTGTCGAATAAGAACAGATTTCTCAACTCTGCGGGCACATTTACAGATACATAAGCTTGTCGATAATAACATCTGTCAGCAATGTTTTGACACGAGAGTCGAAGACTCAAAACACTATTTTTTTGAGTGTACGGCTTATTATCAGGCTAGACTGACCCTTGTTACTACATTGGAGAAAGAAGATGTTAAAATTGATTTAAATACGCTTTTATTACGATCTAACTTTGAAGATGAAAATAAATTTAAACTTGTCTATGATGCAGTGTGTAACGTCATAGCCAACACGGGAAGATTCAGTTAGACTGTGTAGACCTATCCTTTTCTTGTTAAACTATTGGGACGGTGCTCTCTTATATGCACATATATGCATTGTTTTATTTTTTTTGCAAGTGACGTTACATTCGCAAAAAACAAAAAAGCCGAAACTCACTCACACACGGAATTCTATCTTTATTTGATGTAGTTACATCTGTCTTCTTTCTTTGTTTGTTTTTCCTTTATCTGTCTCTTTTACAAAGATGGTATATTGAGCGATATGATGCAATCATTGACTGTGATTTTGCTCAGTATATTACTCTTTTCCTTCTTTCAAACAAATAAAAAGTTTATACTAACAATATTATCAATAATTTTTTTAATACAATTCATTTCATCGTTTGACGGTATTATATGAACACTTTGTAAAACTGGCATTTCAAGTATTTCGCCATACGACTTCGGACGCTGTTTATAATCTGTTTTTAATCTAAATAGAGAAAAACACACATATTTATATCTATCAATGTATGAGAAATTTATAATCATTTTTACAGATAGAGAATAAGTTCTTTTAAAGCAAACGATATCAGTTTATCATCAATATTAGGTGTCCATGTTTGAATTAGATCAGCCAATTCGATATACGAGAGACCTAAAAATGGTTGTTTTCCATTCACTAATTCAGCCTATGCATAACAAGGAAAGGATGCTAACGAAACGATTAATCACAGCAGGAGTACTGTTAGCAATGTGAATACTCAAGAAAAGAGTCATTGCTAGAATGAATCATTGGACAAAAATGAACAGCAGCTGTTCTTGAGTAATTGTGTTTGGTCGAGCACTGAGTCTATTCATTTACTATTTTGATCTCTCCTAGATTTTGATCTGCCCTCTGACAAATGCAAAGCAATTTTGTTGTTCCTTTTAGAGTTGTAAAACCAGGTGGTGTCTATTTGAAAGGTTCAGAGCCAGATGAATATTCCACAATTGAAGTAAAACAACGCTCAAAGTTTGACAAAGTCTTTGTCTATTCCATTTTAGTTTATAATTCCGAACGAATTTCATAATGATACATGGTATATAGTTTGTTATGTGCTGACAGAATGTTGCAATAGTCAAAAGTATTTTGAACATCATACTAAAGGAATATTGGATAGTTGCAAGTGTAAAATTGTCAATTATAAATCCACATGTAATTGAACTAAGTCTGGCAGATGTGTGCTCTGGACGTTATGTGTAAGTTTTATGTCTAACGAAGGAAGGATCACGAATCCCTGATCGATTTTGACCATTTATGCTCTTAGTGAGTTTTTGAGAGGATCTTTGAAAACCCTGTATCTACAGACAGAAGTATCCGAATGAAACAAAGCTTTTTAGAGGACCATTTTGTAAAGCACTGAGATTGAGTTTATCCCGAAAGTTTTAGGCTTCTATGACATAAATAAAAAGAGTAAAGGAATCTATAAGTTTTATTTACACACTTTTAGGGACTTCAAAAGTGAAGCACTATCGAATCATTGAATCAATAGTGCTTCTAAAGCCAACAACTCAAGATAAGCTAATTCAAGAAGTCTACAACGTTTAGAATATACTAAGTTTTCGATGCACTATAAAATGGATATTTCGATAAAACTTTGTTCGTTCAAAAATCGAGGCCGGTCGACATCAGAATTCTAGAAACCCTCTCAAGAGTCTAGTTAGAATACACATTAAGCTCACATAACCTAATCAGGATCAGTGATAGCCCATAAAAATCTATGTTTCAAACTGAAAACGATCAGCCGCTTGAGATTCGTTCCTTTGCAGTCAACTCGCTACAACTATTCTGCAGTCGATCGACTAAAGATGAATCGTATATTCGAAGTAGTGATGCTTTACGGGACGCATCAGCTAACAAATTAAAAATCAGTTCAAAAAATTACCATTTAGCTATTATACTTCGACATGGTAGACAATATGAATCAGCTTTTGTTATTTCTGATATGATGACTGACAGTAAGTTTAATTCATTTCTTCGACTTGCATTGTTACTCCTTTCGTGTTTTATTTTAGTACCTAGAGGAGATAAAAATGAAATCCAGGTAAATGTAGGTCATATAGGTATGTGGTTGTGTGATTGACGAAGTTAGAGATAGTCTCTGAGTGTGAGGAACGTCCGTGCAGATAGTCCTGTGGCAACGCGTGACGGACATATTGTGACCAACGAGTGTGACGGACGTACATGCATGTAGTGACTGGTGAGTGTGGCGGAGGTACCGACATATGGTGACCAGTGAGTGTGACTTACGTACATATGTATAGTGACCAATGAGTGTGACACACGTACATACATACAGTGACCGGTGAGTGTGACCGACGTACACACATATAGTTATGTGGCAGTGTGACGGACGTACCAACATATAGTGACCAGTGAGTGTGACGGACTTAGATACATGCGGTGATCTGTGACTGTGGGGGCGTCCGTGCCGATAGTCCTGTGGCGGTGTGTGACGGACATATAGTGACCAGCGAGTGTGATGGACGTACCTCCATATAGTGATCAATGAATGTGACGGACGTACAAACATGCAGTGTCCTGTGAGTGTGACGGACGTACACACGTACAGGCATGCGGCAGCGTTACGCACGTCCATACATCATAGATGGCCAAGTGCAGACTTTATTCGGCGAGTGATTTTACTGTTAGAAGTATATTCGAAGGTTCAGCGGATACATAGTGAGTTGCCTAATTTTCTGATCTTATGACTTTCTGACTTTCTGACTTTCTGATCTTCTGACTTTCTGATCTTCTGACTTTCTGATCTTCTGACTTTCTGATTATGTGTACGTGAAGGTATCATCTAACCTATTGTTAAGGGCTCGTGCGCGTAGCACATGATCGATACATTATGATTTTTGTTTGTGTTCTTTCACTGTATGATTTTATGGCGTATGTATAACTAATAGACGATATTTTTTTATTGAGGGGAAAGAACAAATAAAATTGTCAGAAAGTCAGAAGATCAGAAAGTCAGAAGATCAGAAAGTCAGAAAGTCAGAAGATCAGAAAGTCAGAAGGTCAGAAGATCAGAAAGTCACAAGATCAGAAAGTCAGAAGGTCAGAAGATCAGAAAGTCAGAAAGTCAGAAGATCAGAAAGTCAGAAAGTCAGAAGATCAGAAAGTCAGAAAGTCAGAAGATCAGAAAGTCAGAAGGTCAGAAGATCAGAAAGTCAGAAAGTCAGAATATCAGAAACTCAGAAAATCAGAAATTCAGAAGATCAGAAAGTCACAAACTCAGAAAGTCAGAGGATCAGAAAGACATACGATTAGAATATGATATAGTCAAAGGATATGGAGACGAATGGGTGAATAGGTAGCTGATAGAAAGCAGAAGATCAGGATATGAAACTGCATTACAAGCACCGTAGCGAAATGACGTTTTCGCATCGTGAGGATGAGACGCCGCATAAGGTGATTTAACTCGCGGAATAACTTTCAGGCTTGGACAGCTCTCCCATACATATAGTGACCGGAGAGTGTGAGCGCCGTACATAAATACAATGAACAGCGAGCGGGACGGACGTACAGACTTATACTCATGTCTCAGTGTGACATACGTACGCACATATAGTTATGTGGCA